CCTTATACATTCAGGCAGTCAAATTCTTTCTAACAAAAGGTTATTCGACACTTACTCTTCGCATGTCAGCGGAAAGTACATTTCATGGTCCTTTCAATAAAGCCATAAAAATGGTAGGTCACCGCTGAAACAAAAAAAGTTTTCCAATCGCTCCGTCAGACCATGTCCTCAGAAAATGTCTAAAATCTGCCCTGTGCCCCATTGACCTTTGACCTGTGACCTCAATTTCGGCACAGTGATGGCTTTTCCTACCATGATGCTATACACCGACTATCACGAGGCCTACGTCGAGCCGTTTAGATTGGTGCCGCAATTCTGCATTTCCCCCCTTAACCTTAAGTTAAGGCGGGAATGTTCCCCTTCTTTTACACCTCTTGACCTTTGACCCCCAGCTTCGACATCCCAACTCGTTTTCGGATTACCCCCAACCCCACCCCCCCACGTCCCACCTTTCGATTCCGTACGTTGAGCGGTTTTGCCCAACTGTTGACGCACGGACGGACGCACGCACGCACGCACGCACGCTCATGCGATTCTACAAGCTGCATCTGACTATGTGAGATGAGCTAAAAACTTTTAAAAAGTTGTTTCTTAAACTTTAAATTTGTGTTTTAAATTTTAGTTTTAGGGCAGATGAATTACCTCAAATTCACCTCAGAGCATCTTCAATAAAAAAAAATTCCGGGGGTGGCCCCCCTACCCAACCAATGACAGGGGGAGGTCCCCCTCTCATACTCCCCCCCGTGAATGCCTACAGCGTTCACGAAACACGCCTACGGCAGTCTTGGCTGAGTCACACATACAAAAACGCCCATTGCACTCCCAAATATTTTTTCTGCACTCCCACAATACTCATTCCTGGCTAATACCCTGTCGTAAAACAGGAGTGTGTGCGCTGCAGACAGCGGTAAAGCATCTGTAGCAAGTCGATCTTACAACATTGAGTTCATCATCAAAATGCCTAGAAAAAAACATATCTGCATACCTTATCTACCTAATCATCATTATTATGATATTAATCATGTTAATTATTATATTATATTATTATATTATATTATATTATATTATATTATAATATTATTATATTATATTATATTATAATATTATTATATTATATTATATTATAATATTATTATATTATATTATATATTATATTATAATCATATTATTATCTTCAACATTATCAACCTAATCCATCGTTGCTTTTCACGCAAAAGGTTGAAAGCAATTGTTTCGTCGCTCGCATACGTCTAGAACGCGGGTGAACCACAAAATTGTGATTTTTTGCGCCCACCGAGTGGCAACTACATAATATTGCTCACATATTGTAATTAAATATATTTTAAAAGGTCTGGTGAAACTCGTCAAATAATAACAATTACGCCAATCAAGAGAAAAACGAAACAAACTGAAAAAAAATAATTTATTTTGTGAGAAATATTATCCAATCAAAACGCACGTCTCATCCCGATTCCCCACTGTGTTGCTTTCTGCAACCAATCACGCGTCTCTACGTTTCGTATGAACTGGCTCCCTGCACAACAAACATGGCGACTTGCATGTCGTCTATGTCGTCTGATGATTCTAATACGCTTCCTACTCAAGATGTGGAGAGAGACTGCCGGAGATCAACTGTATAATGTATATGTTGTAGTAACTGTTGTGGTGGCACATGATGAAGAATGTCATTCGCTGCAAAATGTTGATGGCACAGTGAATGTAACTGCTGTGAAGGAACTTGAATGTAACCACGAGGAGGCCGACACACGACACGGCTCTTCGTACACTGTCAGTATGATGCTGCATCTCTCGCTTCGCCATCAGCTGTACAGCCAGCAGTCATCATTAGAAGCCCAGATACGGATGTATTTATTATTGTGGTGTGGCTAAAGCTCACATGATTGAGGCCTAACTTCTCTTTCACACTGGCAGAGGAAACAACAAACGTAGGCCTACATTGAATTTGAGTGCCATACAAAACCATCGTGGACGTGAGGTAACAGATGCCCTCATCGGACTACATTGCTTCACAGGTTGTGATTCGGTGACCTCCTTCTACGGCAACTCAAAGAAAAAAACCATGAAAATGATGCGTGAATCTACAGACTTTCAAGAAGCATTCAAACAGCTTGGAAGCTCATTCACCATAGACACTAGTCTGGTAGATGCACTTGAGAGATTTGTTTGTAAGTTGTATGATCAAGATTGCTCTGATGTAATACAGCTCGATACAACAAATTCTGATGGGTACAAAGGCTGAGATGACATGCCCCTTCACGTGACTCCTTGATGAAACATCTTACGAGCGCTAACTACCAAGTAAACCGACCAGGCTCTCCGACTGTTATACCTCTCGCCACGTAGTGTTAAGCGAGAAGGGAATTTGTGGCTAACTACCAAGTCTGGAGCAGTTTCCAGCCATTCCCAGCCCACATGGTCATGGCTGGAAAGTTACCAACAACACAGACTTGGATATAGTATGGGGTGACCATTCCCCAGCGCCACGTACTCGGCTAGAGCTTAGCAACTGCAGTTGCAAGAAGACAAACTGTGAAGAACCCAAAGGAGAAGGAAACGGTCGTTGCTCTTGTAGACAGCACAATGTAAACTGCACAGATTTATGCAAGTGCATTGTGCAAAAAATTCGGCTTTGCACAGAAAATGATATCGATGGCTTTGAGAAGACTGGATAATGAAGATGACATTTAGTTTATTGAAATCTCACTGCTCTTCTCTAAAGAAATGTTAGCTGAAATTGTATTCCACTAAATCCACTCACTTTACTTGCGCATGCATGCATACACTTGGCACATTTAACCCATTGACGCGGAAAACAAAGAGTTTTTATGAGCCAATTTTTTTTATTATTTTATCATTCAAATTGGCAACATATTTTTTTTTAACTTATAATGATAGGTTTGGCGATAAGTATGCCGAGTTTAGCGTCAATAGGTTAAGGAAAGTGAATTCCAAAATGGGTTTCTCTGTCCCCGTTTCTCAAATTGTTTTTGTTTTAAGTAGAGGGTTTATTGCAAACAGGGGATGTACATCTCAAAATTTAAACTGCCAGAAGATATGATTCCTGTATCAATATGTTTCAGCTTCTGTATGTATTGCATACTATATTAGCTTGAAGAGATCAAACATTGTTTCGATTGGGAAAAACGAACAAATACTGTTTTGTTTATTAAATTACATATGTATATATGTAGGTACACTGTATTGGAAATTGCGACAGCATATGCAAATTATATTATGTACTTGTATTGGGAAATACGCACAGCATTATGCACTGTATGTTAGAAGTACATGTACATGTACTAACAGTCTGAGTTCTTACTTGATTTATTGATTACCTTTGCTTTCTTCATTATAGTACATTCTGTCGCCATTCTTCACGTTACAAATAACATGTAAACATTAAATCATGGCCCTTATCAATTTACTTCCTGTTTGAGGATCAACCTACTGAAGCATTCGTGAAATGGTTATGAAAATGTATGAAAGCAAAGGTGTCTCACTTGTTAGTCAGTTGGTAATTTTTTAATCTACATGTACATAATAATCAAGAGCAGATACTACTCTGTACGGCTTTGTGGATTGGTTAGTTTTTTTATTTAATCACAGGATAAAAGACCCTCGATCAACCAAAGAGGCTGTTTTTCAGAGGTCGTGGATAAATTGCAAAATTATGATACATGTAGGTGTGATGATCACCACGCATGTAGATCAGGGAGCTGCATGTATTTGATTAAACTTTTTTGAATATTGAAATATATTGGGAGAATAAAAGAGCAGAGATCAAAAGACAATGAGAGAGAGCTATATAGAAGAAAAAAGGGGTAGGGGTAGAGAGATGGAAAGCCAGGGGGAGACATGGAAAGAAAGAGGTTGAGAAATGTGTAGACCGTGAGACAGACGAGGAGAGTTAAAGAGAGAGAGAAAAACAATTGTAGAAAGAAACGATTGGATTACTCTGGTAGATTTCAGCTTAAAAGAGTGAATAAATATATATATATTCAATTCATTTTATTGGCCAGATGGAAATTAGTTTTCCTCACATTTTTACACAGATAACATAACCGTATCAACAATATACAGCACATTGCAGTAGCCTACACATATAATCAAGAGTACATAATAGAGTACATCTCTATTATGTACTCTTGATATAATATATAAAAAAAATATTGTTTCATTTCCAAGCATTTTATCAGAATTAAATTAAACATTAATGTATCCTATTCAGTTCTTTCTTCAATGACATGTTCTGGAAAGTACAAAAATTACTCTGCGTACATGTCCCATTATAAATACGGATCGAAGAAGGAACAAACAATATATATATATATATATATATATGTGTGTGTGTGTGTGTGTGTGTGTGGCGCGTGTTGCGTGTTGTGTGTGTGTGTGCATGTGTTGTATATTATCTTTGTCTATGGTGTGTGTGCGTGCTAGCTGCGCGGACGTTTAGACTGGTACGCGGTTCGAACCTCTCGCGCTTAGTTTACTCGATGATGGGCGTCCCTATTAGTTACGATGGTGTGACGAGTACCAGTCTACGGCGACGTTTACCGTGGCGTCCACTACGCTGCGCGGACGTTAGCCGTTCAGAAATTAACATTACTAATTAATGTCTGCCAAGTTCACCACTTGACGACTTCTGGCTTGTGTATTCCTTATATTTTTCCTTCAGCTATTTGCCAAAATTTCAGGTAGTTGCCAGATGTCGCTCACAAAATCAATAATAGAGATCTTTTGCGCTTGTTGCATTTGCGTCTAGTCAGACATACGTCACAGTTCGACTGTACAAAATTTATTAATTTTGTTTTTAATAGCGGTTTAGGTTATTTTTAGAGTTAGGGTTAGGTACGGATTTAGGGTTAGGTTAGGGGTTTAGCGGTCAACAATGCACCTTAAACAGGAGTTTGAGTCAGATGAGACGTGACGTCACTCACTCATGACGAGCGACGAAGCAATGCTTTCAACCTCTTGCCGCTTTCACTTCCATTCCTTTGGAAATTCTATAAAAACTGCTGTAACATGTGATGTTACAGATGTTTACAATACATTAGTAATTAATAGATATAAAAATTAATCAATATATAGTGTGTATATATTTAAGTGTCGGTGTGCAGCGGCAGCAGCAAATGGCGTGTGCCCACGGGACGTGTGTTTAAGATTGAGCATTTAGACGGATTTACAGGAACAATTGTCAGGCAATAATAGCGTGAAAGAAGTATAGGCAAACATTAAGACTTCTGGTTTAGTAAATAGATTTCGAGTATTTATGTTAGATATATTTTATTGAAACGCCTCCAAATGCCTGTGTCGCGATGAGGACGCACACTCGCTACGCGCGTGTGAGTCGTTTCTTTAGTACGTCTACACGACGAACCTTAACTCGAGTTAAGCTAACGGTATTAAGCGGCCTAACTCGAGTTAAGGCACTGCGAGCTAACTCGATGGTTGAGCGCACAGGGGTATATGTAGTGTAGTCTACGACGAACCTTAACTCGAGTTAAGCTAACTGCGATGTTAGCGGGTTATGTAGGTCTACACGACAACACCCCGATAGCGATTCGGTCGCGCGCGTGTGTACGATAACATCCGTACTTAGTGCTGCCGCCATATCTGGCTGGAGGTTAAGCCTAGACCCTCGTATGAGCGTCTACACGGGCTAACTCGAAGTTAAGGTAACTCGAGTTAGCTAACTCGATCGACTGGCGAGGCTTAAAGCTAACTCGAGTTAACGTAACTCGAGTTACCTTAACTCGAGTTAAAGGGACCCCGTGTAGAACGCTTAACTCGCAGTTACGACGTCGTGGAAGACGCAGCTTGTCTTCTCTTTGTGTAGAAAGGAACCTTAATTGGAGGTTGGCGTATCGACAGATGTATACCGTGTTAGTGAGCCTTGGTAGCCTCGAGTTGTTAGAATATAGTATGCTTTTTATTAAACACCAAATTTACACTCTTCTTGATTATTACTCTTCAAATTCTTTCATTCAAACCTTGTGTAACTTCTATGCTACATGCATTTTCCTTCAAACCCCACCACTCTCTTTAAATTTCTATATATATTGGCAATACTCCACCCACATCACAAACAACAATAACTCTTCCTAGCAAATTACGCACGACTACCATGTGGTTGTGTTCACTCAAATAACTTCCGCCATAATCCCCGTATGAGCACTCGTCTAGTACTAGGCTAGAGTCCTATACTACAGAGAGTTGCGCAACTCAGGATTTGATTTCCATAGTTGTCCAATATGGATCCACACCGCCTTGGTTCCGCTTAAGTACAGCGCTGTATGGATACGCTGTACAATGGTCCGTCAGTAATTGTGTAATTAGACTATCCGTGCTTTCAAAAAACTTCAAAATTTACCAGGAGATTATAGCTGAAGCAGGTGTGTCTATTGATTAAGTTTGGGCGTAGAAGGGAGAGGTGAAGAGGGTAAAAGGGAGGCGTAGAAGGGAGAGGTAAAGAGGGTAGAGGGGAGGCGTAGAAGAGGATGAGGAGGGCGAATGTAAAGGAGGGAAGAGTATATACGCCTACACGCGGCGTCGCCAGCTCGCTCATTACGCGTGTGATTTCAGAACGGAGAAACGGTGGTTAGCGTAAGAAGTGAAGCATCGATGGTGTTTCCGGCCATCAACTACATGCTGGAGTATCCAAGGCCGATGCTGCCCAACGTCCAGCTAATTGGTGGCTTGTTGGCCGGACCGGTTCGCGACCTAGACGTAAGACACCAATGTCACTCTCCGGCGCCGATAGATATCCTAATGCTCACAGGTCTTACGGGAATTTCCAAGACTCGGTCACTTTGCCCAAGGGAGTTCTCAAGGGGAGCATAATGTAATGATTCAGCTAAGTGATGATGAGTACTGAACGAACTTTCGCTGAACGTGCACAGTGTATCCGGGTGGGTCCAAGACGAGTGGCTCCGGGATGACTAGCCGATGATTCACACTTATTTAAGGGTTATGTACACTATTTTATTAATCTTATAATTTATTTTCCCCCAAAATCTAGGGGACAGCTGTACCCGTTGCCCTCCTTCTCAGAGTCTACGTCCCCGGAAATAGTGTAATTTAGTTCGTATTTTCGTTGTCGTTTGGCATACATGTGTCAATGTGTTGCAATCTTCCACAGGGGGTGGAGCCGTACATAGCTGGTGCGGGAGAAAGGCCCGTCATCTTCGTGTCGTTTGGTACGTTTGCATCGTCGATGGAGTTTCTACCAAAGGTACGGAGTCAGCACTACGGAGTAGGCACTAAAAGCTTACTGGTTGCTTCTCATACTTAGTGATAATCCGCCGGTACCAGAAGAGCAATGGCTGCCCTTCTTACTTGTTGCCCGCTTATACGGAAGCGTTCTGTCAACCAAAGTGTTTACTTCCCACAAAACAGCTGCATAATCTGATTATTTTATACAGGTCGGTTTTTTTAATCTACCTTCTCAAATACACCATATCTGTTTGCATGTACTTGGATATCTGAATCTGCACGATTGTGCACTTGTCTATCTGTGGCTTATCATCGGCTCAATTTGAGGCGTTGACTAAATTAACTTATATGTGCACGTGACTTGCTGATGACCTTACATTTGCAGGCAGTGCTTCATGTGTTCTTGGAGACATTTGGAAGTCTCAGTGATTACTTCTTTGTTTGGACAATTAATCGCGGTGGCGTGGATCCGATCATACCAACAAATGTGAGGGTGTTCAATCGAGTACCACAGAATGACATATTGGGTAGGTGTCCGATAGATGGGAAAATGACGCACGCGTGTGCGCACGTGACTGCGTGTACGTGCGTAGGCCTATACATGCGTGCTTCCGTACGTGCATATATGTGTGCATAACATCACGTGTTGTGTGCTTTTATGCGGGCGGGCGTGTGCGCGTGCGTTTCAACTCTATTTCCTCAGTACCTATAAAGATTATACGTCTTGGTCTCACGCCGTATCTTTCAGGGCACCCACAGACGCTACTAATATATCTCAAAATCTTTAATGTTTATTACACCTCAGGGTACCTACACACACAACACACAACACACACACACACACACACACACACACACACACACACACACACACACACACACACACACACACACACACACACACACACACACACACACACACACACACACACACACACACACACACACACACACACA